GCCCCGGTGCCAGGCAGGGTGGGAGACGGGAGCCTTTCCCCGCTGGAGCAAGAGCCCTCCCCACCCCCCACACCTCCGCACCAGCCGAGTGGCACATTAATGAGATTAAGCCCTCGGAAGCAAACAGTTTCTCTCCCATGCAGACATGTTATAATTTCTCTGAGTAAATAACTCTAATTGCTGCTCCGCTGCCCGTCAGAGCCCTGGCACGGGGACACCTCCGCTCGGCGTGGCACAGAGCCGTGAGCCAGCTCCGCTCACCGCCGGGCCTCACCCCTCCTGGCCCGGAGCTGCCCACCTGCCGTGAGGCACCGAGACCTGGGTGCCCCGCAGGGACCTGCACCCTACAACCTGCACCCTGCACCCTACACCCCATACTCTGCACCCTACACCCCACACCCCGCCTGGCCAGGGTGCTGCTGCCGGTGCCTGCAGCAGGTGCCTGTCCCGGGGCCCTGCAGTCTCTGACCGCTCTCTCCCACTGACAGTCCATCCGCCGGCTGATGGAAGCGGAGAAGGTGAAGGGCTTTTGCCAGGTGGTGATCTCCTCCAACCTGCGGGACGGCATGTCCCACCTCATCCAGTCCAGCGGGCTGGGGGGGCTGCAGCACAACACGGTGCTGGTGGGCTGGCCCCGCAGCTGGCGCCAGAAGGAGGACCACCAGACCTGGAGGAACTTCATCGGTAGGCACCGTGGAGGGTGGGTGTCGCCAGGCTGGGGTAGGGGGCTGCAAGCCGCTCCGGCTGACGTGGCCCTTCCCCTCCCAGAGCTGGTGCGAGAGACCACGGCTGGGCACCTGGCCTTGCTGGTGGCCAAGAATGTCGCCATGTTCCCGGGCAACCAGGAGCGTTTCTCAGAGGGCCACATCGATGTCTGGTGGATTGTCCATGATGGGGGGATGCTCATGCTGCTGCCCTTCCTCCTGCGGCACCACAAGGTAGCTTGGGCCCCACAGTGTGGGGCAGGGGGCCGGGGCTGTTCCCGCCGAGCCGTGCCCATGCCTCCCTCCCTCGCAGGTCTGGCGCAAGTGCAAGATGCGTATCTTCACGGTGGCCCAGATTGACGACAACAGCATCCAGATGAAGAAGGACCTGACCACGTTCCTGTACCACCTGCGCATCACCGCGGAGGTGGAGGTGGTGGAGATGGTGAGTGCTGGGTCGGGGCGTGTGATGCAGTCTGGGATGCTGCATGTGAGAAAGCCAGACAGACCCTGCCATGGGGGGGACATGCAGCACCATGGGGACACATAGGTCCACAAAGACATGCAGGGCCAGGCTGGGAGCAGTGGGTGCAGCTCAGCCTGTCTCACCCCACAGCACGAGAGCGACATCTCTGCCTACACCTATGAGAAGACGCTGGTGATGGAGCAGCGCTCCCAGATCCTCAAGCAAATGCACCTCACCAAGAATGAGCGGGAGCGGGAGGTGAGGCCGCAGGACAGCCTGGGTGGGATCTGGCCCCCATGGTGACTGTGCTGTTGACCGAGCTGCCTCACAGCTCTGCGCACTCGTTCCGCCGTGCAGCCGAGGCTGCAGGCTGGGGTCTGCTCAGCCAAGCCCTCTTCTGCCCAACTCCACTGGCTGACCCTGTCCCACACAGATCCAGAGCATCACGGATGAGTCCCGCGGCTCCATCCGGCGCAAGAACCCAGCCAACACACGCCTGCGCCTGAGCGTCCCCGAGGAGCAGGTGGGCGACGGCGAGGAGAAGCCGGAGGAGGAGGTGAGGGGCTGCACCAGGACGGGGCCCAGGCAGGCGGCTGGTCCCAGCCCCTGCCCACCACCTCCCTCTCCTCTCTGCAGGTCCAGCTCATCCACGACAAAAACGCTACCGCCTTCTCCAGCAGCTCCCAGTCCCCTGGTGATGAGGTGGAGACGGCCCCTGAGAAGGTGCATCTCACCTGGACCAAGGAGAAGTCTGTTGCAGAGAAGAACAAGAGCAAGAGCCCTGTCAGCCCTGAGGGCATCAAGGACTTCTTCAACATGAAGCCGTACGGCCCCGTGTGCTGCCACCCCATCCCACCCATGCCCTGCATCCCCGGCCATCCCTGCCCACCCCAGCCAGGCGGGGGCAGGCAGGGCCCCGGCAGCACCAGCTCGGTCCTTGCTCTGAGGAGGGGGTCCGGCAGCCCGGGCGCCCTGAGCTCGCCCCTGCAGAGGGGCTGGGTGGGAGGTGGGGTGGGGTCCCTGCACAGACCCATGGTGGCAAGGGACGGGGCACCTGGGCAGTGCGCACTGTGGAGACTTGGGGTTCGCACCCGGCTCACCTCTTCTCTCTCTCTCTCTCTCTCT